GTTATTATTTCTATTTCGTTTCAACCTGATAAATCTTACGTACCTGTCAAAAAAATGGAGAAAAAAAAATGTTTAGTCATAAAACAGGCAATCAAATTATTATCTAAGTTTTAACCCGGTCATACTCATTTCGTTTCAGGTTTTGTCTTATTTTTCATGATGTATTCACACGCGTTGCCTTAGATTAAGAAATACGAACACTTCGTGATTTTTGGACTCGTAAAATTCCCACGCACAACTAGGCAAAAAGAAATAAGAAGTTCATTACAATTTGTTGACATGGAGATTATATTCCAGAAACATCGATTTTTAACGCAACAAACTGACAAAGAAGTAATTCGATGATTTTCTCCTCTAGACCCTGTTTCTTAATTTAAATAAAATCGCATTGTTCACAGCAGATGTAGAAACATGAGTCGACCTATAACATTTCCAGATGATTAATTCTTGTCTAGTCTTATAATCGCCAAATAGACTCCTTTTCTAAAAGGTAGACTTTTGTCTATCACAAATAAAGGATTGGAGTGGATTAAAATCGCTCAAATATAATATTAAAATTTTCATTTGTCTTGAAGGACAAAAATTATCAGCTAATCTAATGCGTTTCATTTCAGGTACCTATAAAAAGCAGTGTCAGTTGCTTTGTAACGTCGAACGTCAGTTGCTTTGTAACGTCGAACGTCAGTTGCTTTGTAACGCCGAACGTCAGTTGCTTTGTAACGCCGAACGTCACGATGCTGATATAAAGGATTGTAAACCAGATAGATATTTCGGCACACATGGATAAACGTCCCTACAATAAGACATCGTGACAATGTTTCCCCTGACATCACATTTTTTAACTACCTTCTTTCTTTGATAATGTTTATTTTTTTAAATATCGATTATTAGAATTGTAATAAAACCTAAACATATGATGAAAGTGAATTTATGCATTTTTTGTTCTTGAGAATTTACAACAAAAATATTAAACACTATTTATTTATTAGATTGTTTATTTACAAGAATAATTTTATATTTACAATATTCAAAGAACTAATGCAATTAAAACTAATGCAATGTAATATTTATCATTTACTAATTTATAAAAAATAAACGTGAAATTTTTTTTTTATTCATACATTTATATACATTTAGTAAATTATTAAAATACTAGATTAAAAGCCAGAATTTAATCTAGCTCCTTCTGATGGATCTTGATTGGCCTTCATCACTATAGGGAGGGAAGGAGTAGATGCGATAGGCAATAATAAACTACAGAAGAACTCAAAATTGATCGCTGCATTTATGTATTGCATTAATATATGCGCTTACCTTTTTAAAAGTTCAATGATAATTCTTCTACCGCCACTTGATTTAAAGATAATTTGATGTACGTAGGTCCTTATTTTCCGTACAAACAATTATTTTTAGTCCATGGGTGACTTTCGCTGTATTTCGCAATTAATTTCGATCATTCCCAAATTTAGTTCAACGTCATCACACAAAACATTGGCCAACAAAAAAAAAAAAAAAAAAAAAAAAAACACTTAAAAAATTACCTAAAACAGTTGCAGTAATGAAAACTTGGGAATCCAAAATTTCAGGATTGCGGGCCCAGATCCGGCCAGAAATAATTTAATTTGCTCACGGCCTGATTCCAAAATGGTATGATATGTTGGTCTACGTCCTCTAGAAATTAATGTTGATTTACACTGACATTTGCATATATTATTATATAAATGTGAACTAACTATAAAGAAATCCTTATTATTTACCATTTTATAAAGTTTGAATCAATTGGCAATTAGCCAATGTTTTGCCAACCATTCCAATGAATAATATAATAAATAAGTAACGTAAATTAAGAAACTAATAAATAAATGTTTATTGCTTTTGTCGTTATTTCTCAGAAAGAAAGAAAATGTATGAATTAACTTTCATATCGGTAAGTTTTATTCCAATCCGAATCATCGCTTTTTAAAACAATACACATTGCCGAAGAATGAAGGTAGTTAAATATGCGGTGTCATGGGGAAAAGAAAACGTTCTTTTGAAAGTCGGTCTTATTGCAGTGTTTGCCATGTTTGCCAAATACTTTATATATTATTCATCTCTACGCAGATACCAGAAATATAAATGAGGCACAGCATCATAAAACTAGAAAAAGTCGGTAGTGGGAGGGACAAATTAAATATTAAAAGTGCGGGTGCGGCAAAATGGACGTTCAATTATAAACATTCCTGATCCTATCTTTTTTTTATCGCATCCTCCAATAAATATTTTTCAACTCTATTATGCGACACTATTATTTTAGACCTATTATCCGAGTCTAGTGTTTTAGACCTATTATCCGTCTCTATTATTTTAGACCTGTTATACGAGTCTATTATATTAGACCAATTATCCATCACTATTATTTTAGACCTATTATCCATCACTATTATTTTAGACCAATTATCCGAGTCAATGTTTTTAGACCTATTATCCATCTCTATTATTTTAGACTTATTATCCGAGTCTATTTTTTAGACCTATTATCCATCACTATTATTTTAGTCCTATTATCCGAGTCTGTTATTTTAGTCCTATTATTTATCTCTATTATTTTAATGCGTGGTATAGTTTTCAGGCGCTTTCAGCTACCAAAAACCGATAGCATCAAGAATCCTGGGAAGTAGACTATGGTGAGATTCGAACTCGAGATATGTGATTTTAAAACGATTGTTCTCACCACTAATCCTTCTCCCTATATATATATATATATATATATATATATATATATATATATATATATATATATATATATATATATATATATAAATATATATAAATATATATATATACACACACACACACACACATATATATATATATATATATATTGAATTCGTCAAAAAATGTACTTCGACTTTCTAGCCTGTTTTACTGTCATTTGCTTGGTGACCAAAAACTCCATGACAATATAATGGATGTTTACTGAGAGAAAAATTTAAAATGTACTTAAAATGTTTAAAAAAAAAAAAAAAAGTTTTTCCTAGAAATATAAGAAGAAAAGTAGTTAATGTTTACTTCACTGGATTCTGAAAACAAATATTATTTATTTTTACTTAAATTACAATTAAATATAAGTTACTGAGAGTCATATGCTTGAACAGTGATTTAACTTCAAGTTCCACAGATATTTCATCAGGTTCATCATACAAGTTAAATTTATTTTCCATTTCTGAATTAAATGATGTCACAATCCAGTCAGGTAGGGACTTTCTGTCCAGAGGCAACATTAGGGACATTATTAAATTGCGTTTTCGTTTTCCACTAGCCATAAATTAGAAAAGTGCTTAGAATTTATTTCTAGCAATCATGATTTCAAAAGATCTATTTTGTCTTTGAAGTTTAATAGAAACCTTCCAAATCGAATCTCTTTGCAGCAATGATGATTTAAAAATGTCACACTAAAAAAGGCAGTTGCAAATAATTAACATTTAACAATTGTTACTAATATTCTGCTAATCCTGAGAGTTGTTGGTGTCTTAATATTGTCCTTCGTAAGTGAAATCAATCCAGTGTTAATCCTCTAATAAATATTTTCAGATCTATTATGCGACACTATTATTTTAGACCTATTAATGAGCAGAATTTCTTTCTTTTATTATAAATGTTATTAATTTGTTGAAATAGTCATAGAATTGTTTCGGTTTCAATGAATTCTGAAGTTTTGTTTGAATATTTAAATTGTGAAATTCTCATTATTATTCATTAATCTATTTAGATAAAAAATAAATTATCACTGAGTCTGTCGATTGAATAAATGCTTCAGTTTGAAGGTTTTCGAATATGAGAGACATTTGAATAGGTTCAGTAAGTACAAGAAGCTAAATCTTCTGGGACAACCAAGATAAAGTGACAATTTCGAATCGAACTATATATGTTGTTCGAACGAATTATTTTGCAACATGCCAAAAAATTAACAACGTTTCTGTTCACTGTTCTCTGAGAACAGTTAATGCAGAATTTTAAAAGTCTATATTGTTAAGAGTCTTTAATCTTTGGTGGCTTGAAAGAAAATAATTATATATGAAACAAATATTCGACTAAATGCTTATCATAACATCCATAGACGATTACTCTATTTGTCTTACTGTTTTCACTTTTTCTTTGCATTCAGCTTAACCAATTTGAAAGAAAAAAATCGATTTTCCGTCACAATGCACAATAAGGTGTAAAACTGACCCGATTTCATAATAAATATAATTATTTCAAATATTCTTTTTTCGTTAATTATTCTTGAATTAGTTGAAACGATTCCAGCTACGTGTGAAGTTTGTTCCAAATTCTTTGAAAAAGGTTTTTGGATCATTTTCCATCAGTCATCACCTTCACAAATGATTTGTAGCTGTGTCTGATATTATTTCTTGATTATTAAATTGATATCTCCATTTAAAAATGTTTGAAAAAATAAAACAAAGTAAGTTTTCCTTCATTTACGGCATTGTTCTTAAATACAGAATTGATGTTAATCACAACTTCATTTCTATTATGACCCAACTTGAAGTGATACGCGAAGAAATCTAGAAAATATTTTGGATGGTTTTCCAAATATATAATAAAATTAATTGATGAAAGTAAATTCTAATTGTATAATTAAATAATAAAATATGACTTAAAAATCCAGTCACAATTATAGCATTGTAAATTGGAGAAGGAGCTCTGTGTTTTGTCTTCAGTACATCATTCAAACCAGTCAATGATTTAGTGTAGTTTTACGAAGAAATAGTTTGCCCAGCAATTCCAGTAATATGTAATAAAATATTCCTTTGAATCTAGTAATATATATTACCCTTTTCATAGTAGATTCTATGTAGGTTGAGATATCGAATTGTTTCCTGGATCAAGCGACGTTCTTTTCTTATGTAACAAATTCATTTTCATTGCCGGCCATTACCTTGTTCAAAATTGACATTTTTCTAGAGCAAAAGAGAAAGAAAATATTTAAGCGACGGCCAGATATTCATTTTTGA